GAGAACCTGCCAGTGGTGAGACTTCACTCTGATCGTGCTCATGAATTCCAGTCTGAGCAGCTAAAGGAGTGGGCTTTAGATCACGACATCATGTTGACCAGGACCGAAGGGCAAGCACCACCGAGCAACGGCACTGCGGAGCGAGCGGTCCGCTACCTCAAGGGTCAAGCGCGCCTTCTACTGCGTTCGTCGGGGCTGGGAACAGAAAACTGGGCTACGGCTATGACGACGGCAGCCCACAGACAAAGGGAGAGAAGACACCATGTCAGTACGGCGCAAAGGTGGCCATCAAGCGGAAGATCTACGGCGAAGGAGGACGCCACGATTTGCGGTTGAAGTGGACCACCGGAAGGTACATGGGGCCAGTGTGCGGATGTGACCAAGGGGCAGGCGATTCTTCAAGATGAAAACAACCGCTTTACGGTATCAACCCACATGCGACCCCACTTGAAGGAGCCGGAGCCTGCAGCTGTCGAGCCAGAAATGGAGGTGGAGTTTCAGGATCCGGTGTATCGGCTGAGGAGAAAAACAACGTTGGAAGCACCGGGAATGAGGGCCCTGAAGAAAGATGAAGTTCAGCAAGATTTGTGGACAAGGAAGAAGCGAAAAGAGATGGTGGGCGCTTTGATGAATGCGGAGGTGATCAAGGGGACAAGTCCGATAAGGAGGGTGAAGCTAAAAGAGCAAGGGGAGCATGGACCCGAGAGTAAGTACGTCACGTTTGGGGCGTTCCAGCATGGAGGAGTGATTGGAACCACCGCGGCAACGAAGGAGAATGTGAATGACACGAAGGCCCTCGTAGAGCTGGTGAAACGAGACTTCCCGGGGGAATGCTTCACGTCGATCACCCTGGTGAGGAACGCAGCGCTACCTCCGCACAAGGACAAGTTCAACGCAAAGGGAAGTTGGAACTTACTTTCGCCAATGGTGATCCCGGATGGAGGAGGCGTTTGGGAGGAATTGAAGCCAGGAGATGTGTTTACGGGAACATACAAAGAGATGATGGTGAACGAAGAAAGACTACCTGGCCAGTTCCACAACCTCAAGGACCCCCAGAAGGTGAACCCCCATCGCCTACATGCACCAGTTCAAGGAGCGGAAGGAGAAAGGATAGTCCTCGCAGGGCACACCGTCAGCGCATGGAAAAAGCTAAGCATGGAAAAGAGGCAGGAGCTAGAAGCCTTGGGCTTCCCTGTGCCAGAGGACATGGAGCTGGTGAGTGGATATGATCCATCCCGAGGAAGTGATGAACCACCTGTTCAGTGCAAGGTGCACGTTGCGGAAGAGAACTTCATCGAGAACTACCCAGTTGACGACTTGGTGGAACGAATGGAAGATGAGGTGAGAATAGCAAAGGCAGCGAGTGAGGGCCTGTACACCTCGAACATCGAAGAGCTGCTGGCGACTATGGAGGGAGATCTGAGGGTCGTGCATACCGTCAAGCAGTCGGAGGTGGAGCCGAATTTGAGTGAATGGAAGGAGGCCCTCCAAGCAGAAATGGACGCGCTGGTGAACATGGGCGCGATTGAAAAACTACGAGGAACCAAGGCGAAGGCACTCTTGAACCGGCCCGACGTGACCATCGTTCCTGGAAAAGGAGTCTACACGGTGAAGCCACCGCAAAAGGCGGGGCGAAAGTTCCGCAGAAAAGTCCGTATTGTATCGTGCGGGAATTATGTCGAAAAGTCTTCAGATGAGCACAACTACTCTGGAGGCGCGGACGCGGAGTCAGTCCGCTTGGCAATCGCAGAGTCGGCAAGAAGGAGGTGGAACATCGGCGCGGGGGACATCAAGAACGCTTTCTTGCGGGCCCCGGTGCCGGATGGAGTGATCCTCGTCTTGCGTCCCCCAGCAATCCTAGTGAGAGCGGGGCTCGCAACCCCAGATGAACTGTGGCAGTGCCACACTGCGATGTATGGATACAGGTCCAGTCCAAGGTGGTGGTCGGATTACCGCAACGGAAAGATGAAGACCGCCGTGACCACCATGAACAGAAGATTCCACCAGGGAGAAGTGGACAAGAATGTTTGGCAAATCCGGGAGGTGGATGGGACCTTGTGCGGTTACATCATCGTTTACGTTGATGACGTGATGATCACGGGAAGCGTGGCAACGATCAAGGACGCCTACAAGTGGATTGAGGAAACATGGGAGGCAACCCGTTGGAGCTCGCCTCGGAGGAATCTGCGGTGAGGTTCTTGGGAATGGAAATCAAGCAGGAGAAGAATGAGGAGGGGGAAGTCACGGGATATAGGGTGGATCAAGAAGGCTACATCCGGGAGATCCTACGACACCGAAAGGTTGAACCAACCCAAAGAGGCCTCATACCTGCACCAAAAGAATGGATGTCCTTGAACCAAGACCTCTTCCCAAAGACCGTCGATGAGCATCATGTCAAGGAAGCTCAGTCAAGGACAGGCGAGCTCCTCTGGCTAGCACAGAGAAGCAGGCCAGACTTATCGTATGTCACAAGCATCATGGGAAGCCTTACAAGCAAGGACCCGGAGAGAGCCAACCGCATCGGCAAGCGTGTCTTGATGTACATCAACGCGACGCAGGACATGGCCCTTCACTATGCAAGCGATGGCGAAAGGCTTCTCAACACCTACACGGATGCGTCCTACGCACCAGAAGGTGATCGAAGCCACGCGGGCATGATCACTTTTTGGTCGAATTCGCCAATCTCATGGCGGAGCAATCGACAATCGCTGGTTACAACCAGCTCAGCCGAAGCAGAGCTCCTAGCAGCCAGTGAAGGGGCGAAGATGTTGGAGTCGATCGAGGCCCTGTTGGGGGACTTTGGTGTCGTGGCAGAAAGAAAAACTCTGCTCGTGGACAACCGCGCTGCGATCACGATCGCCACGAGCGAAGGAGGATCGTGGAGGTCAAGACACCTGAAAGTCCGCCACAAAGCCTTGCGTCATGAAGTTGAAGAAGGCCTGCTGAAGATCGAATATTGCCCAGGCGAAGCCCAGCTCGCCGACGGCTTAACCAAAATGTTGCCGTCGCAGCGGATGCTTATGCTCACGCGATTCTGGGGTCTATATGGCAGCCAAGATGAGGAGGGGTCAAGAGCGATGATGAAGGCCATCAAGAATGACGAAGAGAACGAAGCCTCCGGTCACCCTCGCTGCAAGCAGACCAGCAAAGGTGACAACGCAGCAGCCGCAGCAACCCACAAGCAACAAGGTGTCATGGGGTGCTGTCTAGGGTTGCTAGTGTTTCTTCAGGGTTTGGTTGCTGGAGAAGGGAGACCTGTTGCAGATGATGAAGAAGGCGAAGGACCCATGGCAGTGGATTCATCGCTGGAGTTCTACGCAATGGTGCTCATGGTCATTATATGCGCTGTGGCCTTATGGGAAGGTGCAAAAGCGGTTAGCAGATCCGCTGCACAAGCCGTAAGGTTGAGGGCGCTCGCCTCCGACCAGCAAGAGCCGAGCCTGGACAAGCAGGATTTAAGAAGGCTCAACAGACTGCTAAAGCGAGGCCCGGAAAACCTGAGCAGTGAGGAGAAGCGAGAGCTGATCTCCTTGGCAGATGGGGCAGGCGTAGACATCTCTGGTGTCGTGCTGAGCGCCGAAAGGGCGGTAAGACCGCCGTCGCCAAGGCAACCTCCTCCAGTTCAAGTTCCCACGCTGGACGATGAACTGGAAAGAATGTGGTTCGGTCAGCGGGCAGCGTCATCGAGTTCAAGACAACCACCGTCAGCAGAAAGACCACCTCCGCCGCCAATTGGTTCGATCCGCCACGAGTGTGGACACCAGAGGGACAAAGAGGTGCAAGTGAACCTGCTGAGGGAGATGCCGAAGAAGGTTTTCATCACGCCGAGTGGAGGGTGCATCCACTCAACCAGGGATTGTTCAACCCTGGCAAAGTCCGTGAAGTACATTGAGAAGGAGGTGTGTATGAAGTGCATGCCAGGCCAAGCCGAGATCACCGAGCGACCCGTTTAGAGGCCGGAAGGTGATGAAATTCGAAGGTGGTGAAGCCTTGCGGCGACACCAAGGAGGGGTGAAGATGTCATTTGAAACATGTACCACCTCCCGACCTGAAGATGAAGATAAGCTGCGGTTGTGTAAAGTGAATCGCCGCTTGTTCGATTCAAGGGCATGCAGAACAAAAGGCATGCAAGCGTGGCATCACAAGGCAGGATGCAGCAAAGGTGCACAAGCCGTATGCCGTAAGCAGTGCAGAGGCCGAAGTTCTTTGCTTGTGGGAAAAATTCGAAGTGTGTAAGCCCGTGGCCCCATGGATCCCATTGCATAGCGCAAATCCTTTGACATCACGTTGTTCAGAACGAGAAGGTCACGGCAGCACATCATCAGTGAAGCACAACAGAATATGATTTTGCTTACGGCGTAGATCAAGTGGGGTTTCAGGATTCGGATAATTACCTGGAGGTTCATGGGTACTTACAACCCCAAAATGTAGATCTACGTTGAACCTACATAGAGGACTGGGATCTTATAAGTACAGTTATGGTTGGGGTTAAAAGTACCCTGAACCCACAAGCCGCAACCCCTACCCTAAAAGAAAGTCCTCGTAACTTCCCTGGACCTAAACCCTTAATCATTTCAGCAAACCCTAAATCCTAAAGCCCCCAAACCCTAAACCCCTACGAGCCCCCACACCCGGGGCCGGTACCTGCACCAGCTCAGCAAGAGAATCCTTTTCAAAGGAATCCAACCCTCAAGAAGCTGCTCAGCTTCTACCCCCCAAGGAGATACCAATTTTTCCCCGGTTTCCTTCCTTGCAAGTCTTAAAAGGTTCTCTTTACAAATCCCTAAACCATAAACCCTAAACCCCAAACCCCAAACCCTAAACCCCAAAATCAGGAGGACCCACCACAACAGGGCTCAGGGTATAGATGATATGGGGCTGAGTGCGACGAGGCCCTCTAATCGGAGCCTCCAAGCGGGAGGGGGGTGGGGGAGCGGGAAAGGGGCAATCGTTTCAAAGCCTCTAAGCCCTAAGCCTTAAAGCCCTTTGGTCTAGCGCAGGTGAGTACACGACCTTGTGCCGTGACTTTCCGCAATATGCCTCCTTCTGGCGCACCTACTCCTTACGCCGGGAGTCGCGCCGACAGCGGCTGCGACAACATCACAGCACCTTGGGAGCAGCGCCTGCTTCATGCAGCTTCAAATAGGGCAGGCTCGAGGGTTCAAAGGTTCAAGAGGTTTAGGGAAGCTCTCTCTCCCCCCCTTTCTCTCTCTCTCTCTCTATCTCTCTCTCTCTCTCTCTCTTCTCTCTCTCTCTCTCTCTCTCTCTCTCTCTCTCTCTCTCTCTCTCTCTCTCTCTGTCTCTCTCTCTCTCTCTCTCTCTCTCTCTCTCTAATTTGTTCGACCCTTCTGGGGTAACTCATTAGCTTACTGGGTGTATATGTATGTATGTATGTATGTATGTATGTATGTATGTATGTATGTATGTATGTATGTATGTATACATACGTACATATGTGTATATGTCTACACACGTATGTATAGTTAGATGTGCATGTGTATATATAACATAATATAATATAATATAATATAATATAATATAATATAATATAATATAATATATGTACATATATATATAAATTTATTTATTCTTATTTCTTTATTCATATTTCTGACCCGTATTCTACCAGGTACCAAAGGGACCTAGTTTAGGAAACCGACCGCCTAGCTGCGGGTTCGGCATCCAACCTCCATAACTCGAGATGACCCTTTCTCGCCCCTTGCGCACTTCACCTCACAAGCCTGGTTTCGGGGTTTAGGGATTTGGGTTTAGGGTTTAGGGCTTGGGGTGCTTAATTTGTGTCGACCCCCCAGTATGGTGTCGTTTGCTCCCAAGCCCAAGCGGGCATGCACAAAGGTTTAGGGGTTTAAGGTTTGGGGTCCGTGGTACCGTCATTCACAATTTCCGGGGGGCTGTCTTTTTATGGGTTGCAAGTTGAAAGATCCCTTATCGAGTAAGTAACCTTTCACTGCTGTAAGCGGTTTAACAGTCTACACCCCTTATACTTCTGGACCACTAACCCCGGACAAGTAGGTTATTCGCGCCAGCTAGCGGCGAGGGCGGTCTAGGCGTGATCCGATCGCAACAAGGTCTCTCACTGAGCTACGACCACTGGGCGGCTACGCAGATTCAGCGATTCTTTCGCAACGTCAAGGAGGGGGTTCGGATACCTGCCTCCTGTTTTGGGGGTTGTGGGGGTTGGGGGTTGTTGAGGTGCCAGCTGTGATTGTCATACAACCAAGGAAGTGCAGCAAGCTGTCCGCGAGCCACGCGGCGCGCTCGCACAGCGGAGATCTCAACGAATTGTTGCTGTCACCGCGGGGGCGCCGGAACTCTAGCAGCACCCCGACGAAGAAAAGCAAGTTCAATGCCAGGGAAGGTCGACCAAAACCCTTAGTTCCTTAACCCACATCCGCAAAGCGCAACGACAAGCCCCGCAACACAAGAAAGGAACCCAGGAGCAGGATGTGGTACCAAAGGATACTGGTTCTCAGGGTTTAGGGTTCAGGGTATACCCTAAACCCTAAACCCTAAACCCCAAACCCTAAACCCCAGGCCCCAAACAAGTCCAGGAGTCGCCCCCGAAAGCCTGACAAACTCTTCACCGAGAAGTGGGGCGTTTAGTAGTTTAGGGTTTAGGGTTTAGCGTTTATGGTTTAGGGTTTAGGGAAACCCTCAGCCAGCCTCGACCGCAAGATCCCAAAGGTTACCAGGTTACCTGGACTTCGTATTCATAACCTGCTAGGTTTTGTGCTTTTCTGGGTTTAGGATTTAGGGGGTCTCTTAAGTGAAGGTATTTCTTTGGTCCTGAATTCCTCAGTTGAGCACTTGGGGCGGGGGGGCGGGGCTGAGTCCTACACAGCCGAAATCCTAATTCTCCATCCTGTGATACCTTGTGGCAGTTTCGGGGGGGGGGGGGGGGGGGGGGAGTTCGCGTTTCGAGATGTTACCCTGTACTGCTCGATTCCCGCTTAAAGTATCTCCGTTAGCCCCCAACCCCCCAAGAAGCTCTTCTGGCGTTGAAGACCCCAAACCCTAGACTCCCTCGTGAAAGATTGGGGGGGGGGGGGGCCCTGACAGGAGCCCAAAGGTGAGGAGTTTAGGGTTGAGGGGTTTAGGGTTTAGGGTTTAGGGTTTAGGGTTTAGGGGGCTACCTTGGAGGTTCGTGGTACCTATAACCCCAACTATAGGTCTACTTAGAGCAGAACCTACTTAGGGGACTTAGGGAGCTTAGAAGTGTACCCATGCATCTCCAAGTAGGGTTGAGGGCTTAGGGTTAGGGGGAGACCTGGTTCAAGAACAGGATGGGTTTCGCCAGGGGGTCTTGGTTCAACAAGGTCCAGGGTTTCGGGGAGACCTACGCAAGCCTGATGCAAAACAAGGGGTTTTGAGATGTGAGATGGTCCCTAAGTATGGGCCCTTGAAGGGTACCCCTTATGTACCTCCTGCATACCCTATACAAACAAAGGGCCCATACATCAGAACCCTTTAAAGGAGGTTAGGGACCATATTAAGGGCCCATGAAACTACCCTTCGACTACCTCAAACCCCAAAACTCGAGAGAACCCTAAACCCCAAACCCCAAACCCCAAACGCCAACCCCAAACCCTAAACCCTGATCCCTAGACCCTAAACCCTAAACCCTAAACCCTAAACCCTAAACCCTAAACCCTAAACCCTAAACCCTATAAACCCTAAACCCGAGAAAGTAGAAGCCCCTGAAGGCATGGTTTCACAGTGGGGGTCGACGGCTTCAGCGTTGGAGCTGGCGACCCTGCGCGCAGAGATGGGCCAGGCGAAGGCCTCTTGGCGGGGTGGTGTTTAGGGTTCATGGTATCCCTAAACCCTAAACCCTAAACCCTGAAAAAGAGGGCCCTGAAGTCACGAAAAGTTCCTAGAATGTGGCTCAAAGGGCCACTCCTCATTTCAGCCTACTTAGAATTGGGGTTAGACGTAACCATGAACCTCCAAGCAAACCTGCTTCAGGTCCTAAACCCTAAACGCCTAAACCCTAAACCCCCTCTGGGATCATTCCCTGCGGAGTGATCCCAGAGGGGGTCTGCTAGGCGGGTGGGGAAGAGACCCAGGATTCAGGACCTGGCCTCGACCTACTAGTAGAATTTGGGCCGTAAAGTATCTCCTCCTCGGATGAACTTCAAAGCCTTGTTCGACCCCTTACCCCGGAAGTCCTGAAGCCCGATCCCTCAAAGCCCTAAGGCCTAGCCCTAAACCCTAAACCCTAAGCCCTAAACCCTAAACCCTAAACCCTAGCCCTAAACCCCAAACCCAAAGCCCCACAAAGACAAAAGCCCTAAGCCCCCCAAAACCCTCAAAACGAAAATCTAAGCACTCGGTTCAGAAGGCCGAGACCCCCAGAAACTCCTCAAACTCTAAACTGTCACATACCATACAACTTAGTAGCTGAGTGAGTACACTTTACACTTTTTGGGATACTATAACCCCCCCAATAGAACTGAAAGTGTACATTTTTTGGGGGCTGATGAACTCAGCAACTAAGTACCATATCTGCCCTCTAACCCTTTAACCCCTTTTTCTTCCTCTACTTAGCCGATAAACCCGAAACTCTATATACCGTTAAACCAAAAGCCTATATGACGTTGCACCCGAAACCATATATGACCTTTTTCATACTCCATAAACCCTACACGCCCCCCAAAAACTATATACCCCATAAACCCTATATACCCTAAAAGCCCGAAACCATATGTACCTTGGCATGTTCCCCCTTGTGCTAACAGCCCTTAATCGGGATTCTAGTACCCCGTACTAAATTCCCTATTAAGGAGCTGTTAGTATAAGGGGAACATCCCAATACATACCCTATGACCCTAAACCCTAAACCCGAAACCCTAAACCCTAAACCCTAAACCTTACTTACACCCCGAAGTCGCAGACCGAGGCACGGGAGCAGCAGACGCAGAAGCGCCATGAGGAGCTCATGACCGGCATGAGGATACTGCAAGGCATGTGCCTTTGAAGCACTATACGTTGGGTTTTTCGGTTTAGTGTTTTGGGGTTTAGGGTTTAGGGTTTGCCTTTGAAGCACTATATGGTTGCTCCGAATTTGGGGTACCTTGTTGAGGTCCTTATTTGAAGGGCACCCTGCTATTTAGGGGTCTATTCTAGGGGTCCCCTATTTTCGTAAACCCCCATATGTGTATGTGGTGGTTTCCGAAAATGGGGGTACCCTGTTTTGGGGGTCCCCTTTCTAATTGGGGTACAAAAGGGGTATCCCTATTTGGGGAAATACCCATATATACAGACATATATATATATATAAATGTGTATATACATATAATTATTTTATTTGTGTATTTATTATGTTTTTTTTTTTGCGGGGGGGGGGGGGGGTTTTGTGTTTTGGGGTCTTGGGGTCTTGGGGTCTTGGGGTTTTGGGGTTTTGGGGTTTTGGGGTTTTGGGGTTTTGGGGTTTTGGGGTTTGGGGTTTTGGGGTTTTGGGGGTTTGGGGGTTTGGGGTTTTGGGGTTTTGTGGTTTTGGGTTTGGGGCTTTATGGTTTTGGAGGGGGGGGCTTAGAGGTTTTGGGAGGGGGGCGGGGGTACTTTAATCCCTGTTAAGGATTGCTAGTATTAGGGGGAACATCCCAACCTGTCACCCCGCTAAGCCCTAAGCACTAGGCTGGAGCGGTTTGGCGGGCCAGCGGCCGCGGTGCAACCATCTGACATCGCGCTCCAAATGGCCGATGGCAAGACATGCCTTTAGGGCATGACGTGCAATGTAGGAGCCTCTTTGTTTTTGCAAGTTGGGGTTTAGGGTGTTGGGTTCAGGGTTCAGGATTTAGGGTTTTGTTTTTTTTCGGTTATCAGGGACCCTATTGAGGAGCCTCTTTCTCTCAATGTAATGTGTCATATTGAGCCATTGGTCTCATGCTCTATCGGGATCATGTGAACGCCCCCTGCAGTAGGTCTAGGAGTGCGCCCCGTCGAGATTTTTGGCGGCAGCTGCGTCATGGTGCTAGCTTCAGGAGGATTTAGGGTTCAGGGTTTAGGGTTTAGGGTTTAGGGTTTATTGTTAGGGCTTTGGCGGCGATTGTAAATGTGGGCAGGCCTCTGGATTGTGGTTCCCTCCTGGGTGCCTTTCATGACATGGGCCTGTCTCGTAGGGATTAGTAGAGGTACCCCGAGAGGGCCTCTAGTTTTGATCAGCCCCCATGTGTAGTCTTCCCGATAAGCCATTCGTTGAACTTTACGTTTGTTGGGCTTGCCAGGGTTTCCTAGTGAGGTCAACCAGTTTCCTGCCCAGCCGCTGGAGAGGTTGGGACAAGGCATACAATGGTTACAGCTGCTACCAATGGTCCCTGTACAGCATTGTGGTCCTTGCAAGACTCGGGCGTATGCGGCAGGTGCTGCTGAAGTGGCAGCGCCTTAACTTGCCGATAGCGCAATCACGCACACGCGCGCAAGGCTTGCCTGGAGGACGGTCTGGGGCGGAGAGCTGAAACTTGCGCTGCCATAAAACACCTCAACACCCAAAGCACTAAACTCTACAGTAAGCCCCATATACTATATACTTAACAAGCTTGAGCCCTGCAAATCACACGCAGCTCGGCTCGATGTGCCTCATCGAAAGACTTCGCGGCTCAATTCAAGAAAAATCCGGGGGTGAACCCGCAACTGCATGTTCAGAATTGAACCTCGGGGCCCGAATCCCGCACCTCAAGCTCTAAACCCCCATACCCCTAAACCCACGAGAGCCGGATGGAGTTTCAACCCTAGCCGCGCAGCGCTTTGGCTTGGAATTCTGCAGAGGCCTTGAGGTTATAGCGTTTAGAGTTCATCGCAGGTCTTGTGTGGGTTTTGTTGGAAGGCCTGACGGCCCAAGAACCATGCCATGCGCACCTGCCCTGCTGCATCCATTCTGCCACCTTAAGACGAGTCCAAGCGTTGCCCTAAACCCGAAACCCTAAACCCTAAGCCCTATAAGCCCTCTGAGCCCTATAAGCCCTCTGAGCCCTATAAGCCCTATGAGCCCTATAAGCCTTATAAGCCCTATAAGCCCTATAAGCCCTATAAGCCCGTTGGCGTTTAGAGCTCAAGGGGGCCCGGAGGCTATTGTGTAGTGCGTAGAACTCAACACCGGTCCTCTTAGAAAGCCCTCCCGGTGGCTTCAGCTGTTCCAGCCATGGCCAACAGCCACTTGACTTTTCTTGGGCTTAAGGGTTTAGGGTTTAGGGCTTAGGGTTTAGGGTGTAGGGTTTAGGGTTTAGGGGTTTAGTGTTTAGGGGTTTAGGGTTTAGGGGTTTTTCAGGTTTCAAGGAGCTGTTGCAGTTCATGACCAAGCCACTGGTGTTTGGGGAGTCGGAGTATCCCTTGTTAAACATCGTGCTCCCTGTTGTTTTGTAAGTGCACCTTCACCCGAAACCTCA